TGTGTGTGTGTGTGTGTGTGTGTGTGTGTGTGTGTGTGTGTGTGTTTATGTAACAAGCAGAAACTCTTTGAGTCAGCCAACAACATCAACAGGCAGAGCTGGAAGGAGCAGCGGTCCAATCAGGACTTTGGTTCTGTTTCACTTCATACGAACAGATTTAATTCAGATTCATCTTATTTACAGACTCAGGAGAAAAACTGATCCAGTCCTCGTCCCTCCAGTCTGTCCTCACAATGATCCAGACTTTCCTGTACCTTCTGAAAGAGGTCTGGATCATCTGGTTCTGAAGACGATCTGAGGGTCTTTCAGAGGTGCACTGTGGACTTTGGCTGATTTTTCACCTAGTTTGACTCCCTGACCTGACTTTAGACCTGTCCATGTGTCCCTGTGATGGACTGAGAAATGTCCATGTGTCCCTGTGATGGACTGAGAAATGTCCATGTGTCCCTGTGATGGACTGAGACCTGTCCATGTGTCCCTGTGATGGACTGAGACCTGTCCATGTGTCCCTGTGATGGACTGAGACCTGTCCATGTGTCCCTGTGATGGACTGAGACATGTCCAGGTGTGTCTGTGATGGACTGAGACATGTCCAGACCCTGTCTCTCACAGTGACTGATTGACAAGGACAGTGTCTCTCAGGGACGAGGCTTGGCGCAGCTGTTTTACGTCCTGGATCTTGGTCTTTTCACTGAGTGTCTTGTCTTAAATACGGTTCAGATTGACCCTCTTCAGGTTCTGGACTCACATGAAGACAGTTAACCTAGGACGACTCAGCTGTCAGGTCCTGATGTCTTCTTGTCCTGTCAGATCCTCTGTGACGTCCACCATCTTGTACCGCTTCACATCAGCGCAGCGGCCGTCACCTCGACACGACGGTTCAGTTCTCAGGCAGCGGGTCGGCCCGCTGAGACCCCCGCCTCAGGTGGGTTTCATGAATCTTTAATGAGGACGGAGGGACGGAGCGGACTCGACAGAGACGTCCCTCCAGCGGTCTCTGGTGGTTTGTTCCGGAGCGTTGACCTCAGCTTCAGAGCATCGAGCTGAAATTAACCTGATTTACATATTCATGACCCGCCTGTCCTCCAGAGACACATCAGACCTCCTGTCCTCCAGAGACACATCAGACCTCCTGTCCTCCAGAGACACATCAGACCAACTGTCCTCCAGAGACACATCAGACCGTCTGTCCTCCAGAGACACATCAGACCTCCTGTCCTCCAGAGACACATCAGACCTCCTGTCCTCCAGAGACACATCAGACCAACTGTCCTCCAGAGACACATCAGACCTCCTGTCCTCCAGAGACACATCAGACCTCCTGTCCTCCAGAGACACATCAGACCAACTGTCCTCCAGAGACACATCAGACCAAATGTCCTCCAGAGACACATCAGACCAACTGTCCTCCAGAGACACATCAGACCTCCTGTCCTCCAGAGACACATCAGACCAACTGTCCTCCAGAGACACATCAGACCGTCTGTCCTCCTGAGACACATCAGACCAACTGTCCTCCAGAGACACATCAGACCAACTGTCCTCCAGAGACACATCAGACCGTCTGTCCTCCTGAGACACATCAGACCAACTGTCCTCCAGAGACACATCAGACCAACTGTCCTCCAGAGACACATCAGACCATCTGTCCTCCTGAGACACATCAGACCGTCTGTCCTCCAGAGACACATCAGACCAACTGTCCTCCAGAGA